TTATTTCACCTTTTTTTGTTAAGTACATAACTCCACATGTGTTCATTCATAGTTTTGATGCCTTCAGTGAGAATCTACAATGTAAATAGTCATGAAAATAAAGAAAACGCATTGAATGAGAAGGTGTGTCCAAACTTTTGGCCTGTACTGTATATATATATATATATATGTGTATACAAAGTACTTATATACCTTTACTTCTCGGGCTGCTCCCTCAGAGTAGCCCTGTGCAGCTGTTTGCTGACAACAACTCCATTTTCCTGAGGGCCACTTCACAAATGGAGAAAATGGAGGGAATACAATAAAATGTCTGGGTTATATTGTTGAAGAATAGTGTTAAAAATAAACTTCAACCACTCCAACATATTTTTCCTCCTTTGGCAGTCCAAACAAGGGTAATTTTCAGTTGCACTGAAAAAAAGCAGCGTCTCCTCCACATGCAATTACAGTTTAAACTCTGCAGCCTGCTCCCCCAACTCTGCTCTAAGTAGGTTTGTTTGGAGGCGCAGCTCAGTGGCCCGCAGGCGGGCATTGTGTTCATTAAAAATGTGTCACATAGTGATGCAACCAAGTTATGGAAGTGAAGGCAGAAAAGCAAACGTTTCAGGCAGCTGAGGACCTGTGTGTCTGTGGGCAGAGAGAGCTCCCTTTGGCCTGGACTTTGGGCTTCTTTTTTACTTTGCAGACCTTATAGATGGATAAAAATGCAATATAAAACTCTGAAGAAGAAGGAAAAACCCCAAACGCCTATCAGGTCCTCTTTAAGATATTTATTTGTAAGCTTTTCTTGACAAAAATTCCACATCTTTGATTGAAACAAATGTGTAAAATATATAAAATATAAAGTATTGCACAGTATGATGAAAATTCAAGCCAAGAGAAAACAAAAAAAGAATTAAAGAAGGTCTGGCATAAGCAGCTGGGAAACATCCACATAATCTATGACTGAAATGGCAGCAGTGGTGGCAGAGCTAGCGGTTTGAAACTAAGTGATTACTCCACTTCTAATTATTGTGACACCATACACTGGATGCATGTCACAGACAGTCACCTCTACACAAAGAGCTAGTTAACCTCAGAGCAGTAGGACAGTTGTGGGCCTAATTCACTGTCATCTGGCAGAGGGAGAGAGGATGTTGAGATGAGATGTTAAGTATCTGCTTCTGAAAGAACATAATCTTGTACAGAAGCCTTTTTCCCTCAAAGTAAAAATTTGAAGTCATTACTAGTGTAATTACTAGTGTGATCCTGTGAGATGATTTCCATCAGAGTTTAAAGTTTGGTTCAGTTTTGAGTTTACTAACTGCTGGCAAAGAGACAGTGGGACATTAGAGGGAAACATCACATCACCCCCTGCTGTTTGCATTAAGAACTGTCTGTCCAATGACACGGACGGTCTTAGCACACTTCAGATTTACCAGCACACACACACATAACTGTGTGTTATCTCACTGTTTCAGATGATTGGCCTCTAATTAGTTTTATGGAATATACATATGCTGCTTAGTAAAGAACAAAACAACATGTCACTGCGGGGGAGAGAGGGGAGAGGAGGGGAGGAAAGCCTGCAGTGAGAGAAAAGCTAAAGAGAAGGATGTGAGGGTGAAGCCCTGAATTAAAGATGAGGAGAAATCAGTTTAAGAAGCAGAGATCTGTGACTCCAAGCACAAACACACTTACAGCTTGACAGCCAAAGTCAACAAGCGGCATTTGTATCAGCATGTGTGAAAGTGACAGGCAATTTTGATTTAAGAAATTCAATTCTGCTGCTTTGCTGTGTGTGTGTGTGTGTCTGTGTGTGTGTGTACAACTGTGTTTGAACTTGATGTTGTACGTGTGCATGTTGTGTCAAAGGGATGTAAAATACTTTGATTTCACAATTTTCATTTCAGTGCTTTAGTGCACGTCCGTGTGTGTGTGTATGTCAGAGGGATGAATAATTTTCAACAAGCACTGAATGTGTATGTGCATGCATGTGTGCGTGCTTTCCTCTGTGGTGAAGCGAGATAGGCAGGCAGTCAGGAAGAAAAGCTCCAACTGAGACGGAGGGAAAAGCAGAGGAAGTATGATGAAGCTCCACCAGCCCAAACTCTGCCAATAAAACACCAATTTTAAAGGAGCTCTATAAGATTTTCAGAGTGTATCTATGATTTAGAGGTTGTCTGCACACAGCTGTCAACATGGAGGTGCCTGAGCCAGTGACTCAGCCGTTACATTAAATACATGAAGAAAGGTATTCAAACTTTCGGACTAACACTGCTCAGGATGGAAAACTCAACATCATCTCAAGCTACAGTAGCTTCCCCTCAATTGAAACTGCTTTTAAATGTAAGCATTGTTACAGTACAATATATTAGTTAACTACAGTGTTAAAAGGGAATACAAGGGCAGGAAGTAGCCTGCAGCTTTTCTGTCTTATATTGATACATCACCTCCCACTAACTGTTTTCTTCTCCCTTAAGTTGTATTCAGAGCCAGTGCAGAGTGAAATTCAAATACAGCACACATGCATATGAAGTCAAGCGGGAGCAAACAGCTGCATATTTACTGCAGTGCAAAATTAAGTAATGCCATGAGTGCTGGGGTATTTGTTTCCATTTCAACAGGAGACAAAGTTGAGCAAAAGGCAATATGCATCACTTAAAATTGCACCAAATGCTTTAAGATGGAGGAGAAGCCAAAATTCGTGTTATTGTGTAAATGTATAAAAAGAGCAAGACTAAGGCCCCAATCACACAGATAGCGTTTTAGCAGCTGGAGGTCCCTTATGTAATTGTCGCACCTCACATTTAAGGCTCTAGGCGCAGGTGTTTTTCCCAGAGCGCTCTGAACCCCTCTAGCTGAAAAAACTTCAACTCAGAGCAGGAAAGCGTCCCACATCATCTCTTTCTTCATATCTTTTTTCCCATTGTCCAATCGAATGATTTGAGAGGCGGACCTTCTGTGGTGGTCACGACAACAAGTTTACAGTTTGTAAACAATGGAGGAGAAACTGGTGGTACTTGTTGCTAGATACCCAGAGCTATATGGCCCAACAATAGACAGCAGGTTGTCAAACTGTCCCCGAGTCATATGCCTGGAAAAGGCCATCATGGAGGCGAAGCTCCTGGACCAATTGATAGTACTCCCAATGACCCACCCTCTTTTTTAGGGTCTCATGTACCCACACAGATCTCAGTTTCCCTGTGCCCAACAAACTATTTGCTGACAGCCTCTCACCCTCAACGAGAGCTACAGCAAGCACCTTCTGCCTGAATATTTTAGGAACTAGATACTAATTACTGTGGGGAAAAAAACAGTAGATTGATACATGGGAAGGTTAGTGTAAGGATGTGATGGCTGCCTGGCAACAAAAAAACAGGCACAGCAGGGTTTTTTTTCTGCCAGTGGCATTCAGTTTCACGCCTCGTTTTTTTTAAAGTGAATGCCATCTCCTTGTTCTAACTTTCCCATGTCATCAATCTACCATTTATTAATTTTAGTTATTTGACAGTAATAATTACCTAGTTACTTAAATGGACAGGCAGAAGGCACCAAATGTGGCTCTGGCTGAGGGTGAGAGGCTGTCAGCAACTAGTTTGTTGGGCACAGGGAAACTGAGATCTGTGTGGGTACATGAGACCCTAAAAAAGAGGGTGGCATGGGTCATGGGGAGTACCACCAGTTGGTCCAGGAGCTTCGCCTTAATGATGGCCGTTTCCAGGCATATTTGACTGGGGGGCAGTTTGACAACCTGCTGTCTATCGTCGGGCCGTATAGCTCCAGCAACCGCTACCACCAGTTTCTCCTCCATTGTTTACCAACTGTAAACTTGATGTTGTGAAACCACAGAAGACCCACTACCTCTCAAATCATTCGATTGGACAATGGCAAAAAAGATGATAACAAAAGAGATGATGTAGGGCGTTTTCCTGCTTTGAGTTGAAGTTTTTTCAACTCGAGGAGTTCAGAGCGCTCTGGCAAAAACAGCTGGGTGCCTAGAGTGCAAAAATGCAAAACGCTTAGCAACGCAAAAACCACAAGCAAATGCTTTGTTCTCATTAAAAACAATTACAAAACGGTGCCTCTGCGAGTCTACAGCAAAGGTAGCAGTGCTATGAGGCTGCACTTAGGCACAGCGGTACTTAAGGAATGCTAACTTTAGCATGCTGGTTAACATATACTGTATAAGGTTCATATTTACCATCATAGTTTAGTGTGCTGGCATACTAACATTATGTTATTAGCATGTTAGATAGTAGCCTATAACCGAGGCTGATGGGAATTCTCATCACTCCAGTTAAAGAGAACTAGCTGTTTGTGGCCAATAACCATGGACAGCAAAACACTTCAGTTTGTCATGTTCACACTCATTTCAAATCTTACAGTAATTCATATGTTGATTTGTGAAATTAAAAAAACAAACATTAAAAATGAATGGGTTTGCTTATTTCAGCCAATACGTCATCAGTACCTACTGAGTCACCCCTACTGGTGCTGCTGGGCAGCTGTAAAGATTCAAAGATGTTTTGAAACTGCTGTCACAGAAAAACACTGATACAGCAGTAATGCTGAGTGATCACTCTCTCAAGGCTGTTTTTATCTGAACTCTGACTGAACCCTGAGTTGCAACTGCACAATCACTTAAGTGTGAGGATACTGGAGTGTAAACCCAAGGAGGCTGAGCATACTTTTATATGGGTGAGTAACATCTGTTCACAATATGTTCCTGGAGCTATATAACCCTAATAATGTATCCCAGCATGTGCCCATGAAGTCAACATGTGCTCCGTGTGTTTGCAACATCTGTCTTCTGTCTGTTGAACATCTGTTGTGCAGCATATATAAGGGCAATGTGTCGGTCAAAGGGGTGCAAGGACCCTAGTGTTTGCAAGTGTTGAAATACTGAGTGCAAACAGAAAGTGTAGGAAGTGTAGTCGTAATTCTGAGAATGAGTAGTAGCCTACTAATGAGGCAGACACACATAGCCCCCACTCACAACACAAGCAAAGAGTCATATATTACGATCATTCAGGATTTATTCCAGGAGAAAGACAAACAAAACACAATCAGTCGCTCTGGCCTGTGTCGTCATGGTAACTCTGATATGTGCACATGATTGTCGAAGGCATCTGATATACAAGCCCCATTAACAGAAAGTCATCATCATCATCATCATCATCATCACAGCACAAGAAGTGCGGCAGGCGGTGCCCGCTCTGAGAAATGAGGGTGTCGTCGGCGTGACGACGGTGCACAGGATGGGAGTTTGTTGTGGTCACATGCAGAGAGTAAATACAATACAGCCGGCTAAACTCAGCAGGCTCTGGACGAGGACACCCACAGGGAGACTCAGGGTCCCAAAAAGTAGCTTGTATAAAGTTTCAGTTTTACAAACAATTCTCAGAGGCAGAGCTGCTCTCATTAGTTGAGTTAGATCACGAGGTAAAGGACTGTTTTTAATATTAGCTACACTGAAGCACAGCTACTAGCATGGTAGCTCTGCACTAGATTTACTAATGCTAACAAACCTAGAAACTTTTTCAGTCCATGAAAGACAATGCTAACATTGTGACTCCTAAAGCATTTGGCAACAATTGACAGAAATTCAGCCGATATAGCAAACAAATTCTTGTGTAAAATTAAGCAGTAGACTACATCCACCGCTAACTGTGTAACATTTGCCTAGGCAGAAGACGTGTGCTTTACTTCCTTGGAAGTTAGCAACAGGACTGGGCTTTGCCTTCATGGGATAAAACAGATAGCATACTTAGCTACCTAGCCTAGCCTTGTTAGCTTCAATTAGCCATACAAGGCTATTGCAACCATGTCTCCAAAAAATTACCGTTGTATGTTACTATGTTTTCGTATGTATGCTATGGTGACAACATAATTGCTGTCTGGATTATGTTCAGAGACAAAATTTCTTTGAGTTAATAAAACATTACATTTATGTACCATGCGTGGGTCACAGCGAGGCAGTCGAGATGAATGACGGCCACACAAAGTGCAGGACTGTGACACTGTAATACTTGGTTTGCAACCAGGTCAACAAAAGCACTTGGGTTTAAGTCCGGATAAAACAGCTTTTCTTGAGTATCTAGTGTCAGTATTGTTGGTTTCATAATGAATTTCCAAGTGACACAGGACAGGCAGGTGGGATATAGCATTGGGAGGAATTTGATTTGATCATTTAAAACTGGGTGTCAAAACAGCGAGGTCCCGACAGTGTAACTAGAGTATATCCAGTGATGGGATAGTGGCGCCCGTCAGTGAGAGAGAGAGATGAAGGCCACCATACGCTCCCGTTTCTGCAGCAGTCCACTGTAAAATGCCTTGTGCATATTCTGGAGCTGTCACAGACACCACTTTCCTCCATGTGGAAAAAATTCTAACCAGAGAGCCCGTGATGACCACAGTATTTTGGGGAAACAAAGACACACCAGCGTACCATGCTGTTGCTAACTAGCTAACTACTGAATCTTAGCTCTGTGCAGCTTAAAGTTGCAAATCAATTGACGAGCGGATGTCATGGTATTATTGGTTGAAACTGGTTGGTCCTGACTTAAGTTAACATACTTTATATTTTGTTTTAAAAATGTTGGTCTTTGGTTTGAAATTGATTTGCAGTGGTTAGCACTGTCGCCTCACAGCAAGAGGGTTCCTGGTTTGCTCTGCATTAAGTTTCCCTCAAACAAATTGCTGTTTCAAATATTTTGTTTATAAATGTAATTCCTAGGAGAAAAGGCTGGGCTACTGCTAACTAGGTAAATGAATGTAATAAATGTCAAGGTCAGGAAGGAAAAAAACAACGATCCTTTACACTTTAGACCTTAATTATTATCAATTATTTTCACACCGTGTCATTCATGTACGCAGTGAATCGGCTGGATGTCACTCATAAGCAGCATTAGAGCAACTTACATTAGAACATGGTCTCCAGTTTTTTTTAATAAATGCCACTTGGCTAGGTTCCATTAATCAATGAGATTATTTCTGCCGATTGAAACTGTTTGTAGAAGTGAAACTTAGCTCTTTGTGGACTCAGACGTCACAGCCTGTGTACGTCTTTACATAATACAGAGATACTAACATCATACAAGGGCTATAAGATTATGCAAACACTCATGGTGAAGTTGAATTCTTAAAGCACTTTTTTCAACATGCTTGTGTTTTCATCTTTTGTGACGGAGTCCTCAATAAAAAAAGGAGTGCGAGCTCAAAGGGTAGAGGGGCGGACGAGAGCTCGTCCATAACAGTGTGTTTCTGAGTCGGTCACAGCTTTGGATTTCTTCCTTTAGAATGGCAAAAAACGTAAGCCTGAGTTCGGTAAACGATGCTTTCACTTCTAGTTGGACTGACGCTGAAGTGGTGGAGGAACACTGATGGCATTAAACTGCACCGTGTGGCTCTGCAGGTGACAGTCACACGGCGCTGGACAGTATATATGACAGCAGTGGGGAATAAAGGGGATTTTAGCTTCTTCTTTTTTTTTTTTTACATTAGACATTCCATAGAGAATACAATCAACTTCCCTCGACACACTCACTCACTCACTCACTCACTCATTCACTCTCACATGCCTGAACAGCAAAACATTTGTAAATATTATCTTGAAAATGATCATTCATATTCACAATCTATTTACAGTAGCATCTTTAACATGGAAAGATTCATTCAGAAAATGTTTTTTTGTTGTTTTTTTTAAACAGCGGACATAAAACCACAGAGCAGCATGAACCTGAACCCTCGACCTGCCTCGCAATACATTCGTAAACCCAAACGTCCACACTGAAGTGGACGACATCACATTTAATGAAACATATATTCTTACAGTGTTGGCTGACGATTCATTAACACCTTCTGTGCCAGAGAAAAATCTGGTACACCGACGTAATAATTATAATTAACAGTTCAGTGATTGAAAAAGTCTAAGATCTGTCAGGGATTCAGTGTCTTGCCCTTATTTGTTCCCTAAAACTACATTTATTTTTTTAACTATAGGTGCTGATGTTGTTTCCGGATCCCACCTCCAAGAAAAAGCTTTGACAACACACTTAAAAATGTTAAAAAATGCATAGCAATCAATGGGTATGTATACATGGTTAGAGTGAATAATCAGATTAAGGTGATCATTGGAATAAAGCCCTTACATGGTTGAAAGTTCCCCGCAGTAACACATGGATAATTACATGGACCGACTTCTGAGTTTGCTTGGTGGAGAAAAATGTAACACAAGACCCCACTGTAAAAACGTCAGAATTAATATATATATATATATTCTGAAAGGTGAACGGTGTAGTCGTGCAGTAGGAGCCATGGCATGTAGGTGTTGTAAATCAATATGAAACACTAAAAAATTCTCTACGACTGCACATTTAAAGTAGCACAATAAATCAGGCTAACTGGCCTTTTCTCAAAAACGTAACCTGACCAAGATTATTAAGCTAAAACTCTTTCATGACTGGATTAGTTGCTAGGACAACATGCACAAAATACCTGTAATGATTTGTCTTTAAGCATCAAGCATGTCAGTGAGGTTACCACATCTGCAAGTTTCACAATTTATGCTATAGTGCTTGGTGTGTGTTTGCAGCACACACAGGAATAAGTTTCTGACAAAAATGTCCTATTCCTTAAGGTGGATGTATGCTAAAACTTCTCAGGCTCACTTGCTCCTTAAACAGCATGAATTGTGCCACATTTCCACTGCATGGTACGGCACGGCTCTACTCAACTCGACTCACTCTTCATTGGTTTTACATTAGCAAAAGTTGTGGATAGTACCTGGTACATTTTTTTGATACCACCTCAGTCGAGATTACAACTGAACTGAGCCAATACCAGAATCAATCAATCAATCAAACTTTATTTATATAGTGCCTTTCAGAAGGTGGAGTTAAAACACTGGAGACCACTGGTCAGAGAGAACTGTCAATACAATCAGTGTTGTGCACGCTCACACTTCACAAGAGCTAGCTTGAAGCTCATTTCACACAGATTAAAATGAGCTATTTCACGTTCGTACTTCACAATTTAAATTTTGAACTAAATTCTTTAATTGTTTTATCATCTCTGTTCTATCTTTTGATCATCATTCACGCACTTCCCAAGACTGCAGATGCTTTAACTTGATGTGTTCAAATTCGTTGCCGATGTAGCTGGGGTTCAGACTTGTTTTGTCAGACCCTGTGGGCACAATTTGCAGATAACTACGAGATTTTCTCCACTGGAATTTGTAACTTAATGATTTGACTCATAAAAGTCATTCAAATATCCACATGAACTGGCTTCAGCAGTACTGGTTACTACGTTGTCTGAATTTTTATTAGCACTAGCTATGCCGGTGTTGTATCGGCATGTCGGGTGCTGTAAATCCTTGGGTGCTACAAAAACGAGCGTCAATAACTGTTGCAAGAGTGAACAACCCTCAGGTTCAAGTTCATAAGTTGAATACTGATGCGTTCAGTTCACAGTTCACCCAAAATTAGCGATCCTAAGCCTGCACAAACACGACATTTTAAATAGCCATGCTAACATAATTAGCAACTGCAATTTTTACTAAACCCAAACTTAAAAAAATGGCAGCCCACAAAACTACACCGTAGAACAACTGACAAAGTTCAGATGTTCCTTTGTCTATGTTCAAATCCACCCTCTCGCCAAACTGATTGGTTCTTCTGGCACTGACATGAAACAGCTGTTTCTTGGTTGACAATCTTTTGACCCAGTGAGTGCCACAGGTGGGACTGATGCCATTGACAAGCTTTTGTCAAGTGGTGCACTGCAACCAGTGAGGAGTAATAATAATGGTGAGTGCTATGGACAAGAAAGACGCTGCTATCAAAGCTGTTCTAAATCAAAATGTCTTCCAAATATTGCCCAACACTGTAGTTTATTTTTACTTCGCTCAGCTCCACTCTTAAGATCCCAGCAAAACCAGTATTTTGGCATGTCTGTCTATCAGCGTGGACTTAAACTGCCGTCAGATTCAGGGATTCAGGCGGATGCTTTGGTCTCTAGTGACTGGTTAGGGGAAAACGAATCCCCTTCCCTACAGAAATAGATTATAGTGGATGCAATGTCAGACTGCAGATGGAAATAAAGAGTAACGAGGTAACAATTCTGTCTGATATCAGAGAAAACATTCCTCTGTTTGGTTGCAGATGAAAGGATTCAGCAAGTGTTGGGTTTAAGATGATGTCACGGCAGTTTCACACTGCATCACTATCGTAATCAGCTGAGAATCCAGCCAGCACGTAGGGGGAACAATCCGCAGTGGAAAAAGAAACAGAGAAAAGTGACTGGTGCCAAAAGTGACTTAAGTGGTGCTGATCCATGCAGAGGAAATAAGGCATTACACTGTGAGCCATCTCTTGCAGTCAGTGTAATCCATCACTGTGAATGACAGTTTACAACCAGACTGCTAACCTAAAGTTGTAGATTTACATGCTTCATATTGATGTACACATTCAGGGAGAGTAGGTGGGTACTGTATTTCTCCTTGTTAAGATGTGCTGGAAGTATAGAGATGGGGACTAACACATTGTTGGTTAGGAAACAGTGGGGAAGAGTAGAAACTCCAAACACACTGGAATTATTTTGCAGAGCTTACTAAATGAAGAAGGTGCTGCCGTCCACCAACAGAGAACATGGTGAGGAGGGAGACAGATTTAGACTGGATAGTGCTCACAAATAGTCATGGTTTGTTTTAGTCAACTTCAGTGCCAATTAGGTGGAATTTAATACACACAACGACGCAGCGAGCCAAGACTGAATTCCAGTGAGCTTGGGTGAGTGTTGATTTACTGTCGTTTTTAGCGTGATTTGACTTTCATCCAGCTGTGGTCTCACACTCTCCTGACATACCACACAGATTAAAATGAGCACTATGAATATTTTGCAGATACTTTTCAGCAGCACTCCATGCAGATAATAAAAAAAGGTAAATGGCAACAGATCAGGAAGGGATCAAAGGTCAATCAGTTTCTCAGCCCTTAGTTTTAGTCCACTTGTTTCTCGAACAGCTTCATATCTGACTAGTTCTGTTCTCACCAATTCGTCAAGTAGAATGAACCAAATTGTCCTCGTACCTAGCACTAGTCTTTGGCTAATTCACAATAAAGGGATCAGTAGAATTACATCTAACAAAGATGTGACAATCTGATATGTGTGAGTGAGCACCCAACGTCGTACAGTTCTGCTGAGTTCTGTCTAAAAGGACATTACAACCAGTGACACAAGCCAAGCTTCTGTAGTCATGTTAGAGTCATCAGAGGGTTCAGTCAACAACAAATTAAAGTCAGTCCGTCTTGTCAAATGTAGAGTACTTAAAAATGGACTACCACTCAGCCAGTGAGATCTCTGATGTTTTGAGTTGGCCTGTACTGTTAACCCACAGGGTAATCAGGTACAACTTTTGAGAAGCATTTAAAGAAAAAAACAATGTCTAACACTGCATGCACGAGTTCACGCAGTGTTGGATTAATACATACAAAAAGTCGATTATTCTAATGGATGGCGAACGAGACATTAAAGGAATACTATGCAGGATTTTCCTAAAAAAAAAAAAAAACACAATGTATAGACTCATATACAAGTACTCCCTTTCAACTATCACCTATGACCCATGAGAAGACTCTGCCCTCAGCCTGTATTTTTTTATTTCCTTTAAATTTTGCTGTGTTGAGGATGTCTCTGGGTACAGTGTGCAGGTGAGGTTGGGACTTTATAAAAAGGTAACGACAAAGTGCCACTCTGTAAGCAGCACGCATCCGAGAGGAATCTATGAAAAAATGCAAACATAGCGAGGCCAAACGTCAAGCAGACAAAACTTGTTCCAACACAAGGGTGATTCTGAGGTTGGCTTTCACTTTCGCCGGTTGTTGGACAGGTAAGTGCCAGCAGTTAGCTTAGTTAGCATGCTAACATATCAGCTTTTCTATCACAACAAATGCAACATTCCTATATTGGTAAACGTGTAAAGAAAGCTTCTTCAGGCTCATGAGCCTGATGAAGCTGTAAGCGAAAAGCGTTGCTCTATTAAATTCTTGATCCTCTTTCAAAGTCCTGTCTGGTGTGCGGTATGTAGCCACAACATATGTGTTTTTTTCTTTACACGTTTATACTTTTGCCACAGTACCAGCACTTTGACTTCAGCTGTGCACGGGTATTTTTCTGTTTTTGTTCCTATATTGGTAGTTTGCAGTATATGTACAATCTGTCTAAGGAGGAGGGGCCAGCTTTAAATGTGTGATTACAAACAGTAATCGACAATTCCTGCATAGTATACCTTTAAAGGAGTAGGGATCCCTTTTGGCTGTTGGTTTCGCTGAGCATCGGATCAAGGAGACATTGGACTTTTCAAAACCTTGTGTTAAGCCTGACCCTCAGACAGTAGTGTAATGTTACAAAGTAATAATACATCATTACAGTACTTAGGTATTTTATGGGAGTATCTGTGCTTGACTTGAATCGTCATATTTTTGTCAACTTTCACTTTTACTCAGCTACATTTCCTACATTAAATGTATACTTATGCTCCAGTACAACTCCCTTGAGCATCATTGTTACTTACTACAAAAAAAGGGAAGGAAGGGAGGTTGTTAAAATGACCTTTTTTCTTCAAGTGTAATGTAGGCTCCATACTTAAGGTGGGGTACATGTTAAGAAGGAATAAACATTGGCGTTTCCTTGTACTTTTACTTTCAATACTTAAGTACACTTACTATAATAAAGTTAGTTTTGATACTAAAGTACAGTTAATATCAGATACTTTAAGATTTTTACTTACGTAATATTCTAATAGGTGACTTTAACTTCTATCAGAGTCATTTTCTGGTAAGATATCTTTACTTTTACTTAAGTGTGGCTTTCCGGTACTTCATCCACCACTGCCCAGAGTGCAACTGGAAGTAGGTTGTGGACGTCAGGCGACTTGTTGAACATGAAATACTTTGGCTTCACCGCCCCTAATCAGATGAATACTTTAAATCTGCCATTGTTGGACCATTTCACCAAATGCAAGAACCAAGCTACGCTAACAAACCTAGGGATTTTGGTCGCAATAGCTGTCTGCTGTCGGTTCATAAAGGCAGGGATGACCGGATACAGCAAGAACTAACCTATCCTCTTTTTTTTTTGGCAGTTCTGTCCAATTAAGTCAAGCAAAAAGCCTTGGTTGGGGATCGTACTATAACAAAATACTGGAACAAGTTAAAAACATCTTGGAGTCCTTGGTGGAACAGTCTGAGTCCAAGTCTGAGTCTTCAAAATTCAAGTCACGAGTCACTACAACACTGCAATAAGGACACAGCTAACGTCTTATGAGCTGGATCATTAACTGTGATGCCACAACACCTGGACCAACAACACTGACAGAAAAACCTAAACCAGGAAATCGGTATTCACCAGCTCACAGTGCAGCCGCAGTTTTCCCTGAGCACTTCTGAACTGGGTGCAGCTTGACGATGTGAAAATGGTGAGATCATGGCTTCTTTATGGGGGGGAGGAACAGCAGCAGCAGCAGGCGACAGCGTCTCTATCAGTTAAATATCTCAGAGATGGTTTGTGTTCTTTAGCCACCCTCAAACTGCACTGCGCTGCATGTGGCTCCTCGGCTTAGGAAATCAAACGCTAAAACTATTGTGTAGTCTTTAACATTCTCAACTGGAGGCAGTTTTCCAGTAAATACCTCTATCCTATCCTAATCCTAAACCTGCTGCATTTTTCATAGTAACCTGTATGTGTGTCCCTTAAAGGGTGATTGTTATAAAAGTCTTATAAAGTAAGAAAATAATAAACGGATCAGAATCTTTCAGACAATAAACAAGTTGTACAATGCTCTGACATCCACTCTGGGTTATTATTTTTCTTCTATAAAGGGTTACAATCTCTACTCTCTGATAAACATAAGTGGATGGTGGCTAATCTGTGTCTGAGAACATATCTGACCCTCTGTGTGCAAAATACATAAAGCGCTTACTCATGTTTCCACATCTCAACAGTCATATGGTACTTTTAAAGCACTTTTTAAAGCACAAACAAACAGACAAACAAACCCGAAAGGACATATAAAATGTCTTAAAGGTGCTATGAGTAGGATAAATCAATGTCACATTAGTAAAATTAGTGTAAACAAATCAGGTCATCACTCAGAAGACCTGTCAGCCTCTTCTCTGCATTTTATGGTCACTACTGTAGGTCACATTTGGAGGGAAATCTGCTGGAGGCGACCAGACGTCTTGGCTGTGGACTTGTTTATTTACATTAATCATACCAAAGTTGCAGTGTGACAATGATGTTAAAACTTACATATAGCACCTTTAACATCAACAGTAATAAAAAATAAAACAATCCAGTTGTCAACAGTCAAACCTAATTTGGAAAAAAGCTAAATAAAATTGTGCAGGAAAGACCAGATTCAAGAGGGAAGTTGATGTTGACTGACATTGAATAATATGACACCCCAAGCCCCACTGTGAACCACCAATTACTGCTCAAGCAGTCGACTCCCATTTATCATTTAACAGTATCCGATCACAGCCGGCTGTACAAACATCCTCAGTAAGAGGCCGTGCTGTTGCTGTGGCAGGAGGAATCCTACACGGCGTCCTGGTGGGTGGGTGGTGGGCGTACAGCATGGCGCTGTGTGGCTTGAATCGGTGGGGGTGGAGGTAAAGTCCTCTGCTCTCCCAGGAGCAGGGCAGGGAACTTGCTGGGGGGGCGCATCCAAGTGGAAATGCAGCGAGGAGAGGGAGGAACGAAGAAGAGGGGGATCCTCTTCCTCTCCTGTCGTCCTCCGTCTCTTTCCGTCGCTCTGTCTCACAGCGCTGTGGCCTCCCAGCTGGTCCCCCGCGGGACCTGGCGTCACTTGGTCTCTGTGAGCACCGGGGCGGGAACTGTTGAGGGATGTGGTCGGTTCAGCTCTGCCCCAGCGGCGGGAGAAGAGGCTGCAGACGCCAGACTGCAGGGTGTGACCGGTGCAATTACACCTGTGGAGGAAGAGTCGGCAGATAGATCAGCAATAATACATTTTTATATAATGCTGTAAATGACCCTTAGCTTAGCTACACCCCCTTTTGTTTATGGCACTATGCCTTCCATTCTTGCACGGCACATGTGCAATACACAATAATAGTTGCAGGTATACCAATCCAAATTCTTAGGAATGCTTCTTGGACAAGCAAGAGATTAGATTTATGCTTTTTGTTTGTATCTACCAACTATGTTTTAATTTTAAGATTAAGCAATGTCAGTGTGACACTATCTCTGATAATGACTCTAGCTTGAGTTGATAGAATGCTCTAATAGAGCACGACAGAGCCTCTAACGTTAGCTTGCACTCTGATATAGTAGGATTCAGGATCCTCCTAGCTAGCTGCATCTGTCATTTGGCTATTACTGCTATTACTACCACACCAACCCAACAGGGCTGTTGTGTAAATATGGTGGCCACTGTCCGGTCTCCCCCAGGTCACCTCGATGAGTAAGCAGCTGAATTTTGAGCTGCAAACCCCTTTAGCATAATTAAAATGTTATTACAGTTAGCTCTGTTAGCACCACTAGCAGCGTCAGCACGGCTAGTGGTGCTAACATAATTAACTGCTATGAGGGTTTTGCAGCTCATCAGGGTGACGTCAGGGGAGACCTGAGGGTGGCCACCATGTTTCCACAGCAATGTAATCTCAGTAGGGGCGCCGCCAGGGATTTTGGGCCCCATGAAAAGAATTTTTACTGGGCCCTATACACAGCTGGCTGGGAGGCCGCCGAAAATTTTTGATGCTATTTTACATAAAACTATGCATTTTGATGGTATTTTTGACTATCATTCCCACATTTGTGAAAAAAGAACAATCTCTTCCTCCACTTCCACATTCCAACCTGACAAACTTGAAGAGGATCCTGGACCTGGCTCTGTAGAGTGTACGTTATAGGGCTGACCCAAAAAATTCAAAGCTTTGAAGCTTCGTTTGATGGCACGGGATTTAATTGTGAAAAAAAAAAAAATAAAAAATAAAAAATCGAATATTCAGCCTTTTTTTTTCCCTCTCGTTTTTTGGGGGGACCTTGAACGCAACACCATCTCCAAATAGAAAGCCTGACGTGCAATGAATGGAGACCTATTATCCTGCTTGAGCACAGACAATTAAATTCTTTCAACAATGTGACTCAAAATAATGATAAAATAGATTTTATTGATGCAAGATAATATGCTGATGGCGACATTTCCACCGGTCCGCTGCACTCTGAGTCTGGTGTCAGTGACACATGCTGCTCTGAGTCGCGCATCTGTCTGCTTGTGCTGTAGTGCGCGCCGAGGGTTTTAATTTTTAGTGTTAAATCAAAAGTTAAACACTACTTATCAGCAATCAGAAGTGTTTTTTTGTTTGTGAATATTTTTATCTTAATTCTAGGGTTGCAAGAAACTACCTTTTCGCCATAATTTGTAAGTTATTAGTTGGTTTTCGCTCAGCAAAAAAAAAGAAAAGAAATTGCTTGCCTGCTCATCCCTAACTAAAATGATCACCTTCCTCTGAATATTAACTTTGTCCCTGGTCTATAAGCTGTTTATAGACCAGGGACAAAGTTAATATTCTAACTTTCCAGCACATGAACCACTAACAAACCCACCTTGCTTTTTGAAATACTGGGTGACATACTGTCGACCTTTTGCTTCTTTCTCCTCTCTTAGCTTCCTTTCTTTCCGTTTTTGGCTACCTGATTTTTGAGGCATATTGCTGTCTCCGCCTCCTTACCCGCTGACTGTGACAAATTACCGGCGCACTGCAGCTGATCCAGTAGGACTGAACCATTTTACGTAAATAGAGGGGGGGGCGTTAATGTTTCCAAAACAAATAAAGTTATTGTTACCAGTACATTGTAAATAAAATATATTTGTGATTCTAAGTTAGTTAATAACTTAGTGTCATATTATTTTTTGTCAGTATTCTAATTTTATTAGGGGCCTCTCTGGGCCCCTCTTAATCATGGGCCCCTAGAATCTTTCTCCTTTTCCCCCCCTTTTTGGCACCCCAGCATCTCAGAAACAGGACGGTGTTACCAGTGGAAATTGCAAAATACGCTACCAGCTAGCTCTCACCTGACCCGGATTGGTGCGCAGTGCAGAGCAGCCTAGGCTTACATTAGCTAACTAGTGGAGAGTGGAGAGTGGGCAGTGACCACTATTTTTCTCCATGCTAACCGCTAGCCGGCTAAACAAAAGGTACAGCATTTACTTTACAAAACATTTAAATTTCACCACCTCAAACTGAATAGCGCTTTGAAATGTGGTGCTATAGCTCACGAGTCAATTAAACGCGGGACTACAATGAAAGGCTGTTTGTATTTCATGTCATTTTGCACTTTTTTTTTGTCTTAAATTAGTGGATTAATAACCAGTTAATGAATGTTGGGCTGTCGACAACAAAATTAAATGAAACTAACAACCTTTGTTAGCAGGTAGGTAAGCTAGTTAGCCAGATGCAGCCACATTCTAACGTCTGGAGTTAACGGTAACGCAGACTATGGTGTACACAATGTCAGATTTTCACTGCACTATTATTGTCGCCAAGAGTTCACAATATAACATAATTGGATGTCTATAGAAAATAATAATAATGCTACCAGCCAAATTAATCTTGTTTATTATGCTTTTTGTTGTTGTTGTTTTTGGCAAATGAATGACACTCAAAAGTCAGTCACCATAACTGTACAAAACTGAACAAAAAGAACAATTACACTTTTTAAATATCACAGTTAGTTAATACATACAGTGACACCCGTAGAGCAGACAAGCACTCTGTTTGATCCATAGTCTACATTTTTGTTCTTCTGTTTTTGGTTTTGAAACACAGCCCTCGAAACTCTTTATGTGCATACAGAAAGTCACTCCACACACATCTTCAGCTTGTAGGGAAATCCGAACTGCCGTGCTTTGCACCGTTGCTAAAGTAATATTGGACAATTGCTGTATAGGGGAAGGCTTTATCAAATTATCAATTCTTTAACTTTTTGTAATACACATATGTTCTCTTGACTTTCTGATGTGACTGATACTACTGACTCAGACTCACATTCCTTGGGGGGAGCTGCTATGTTGTTGTCTGTGGAAGAGGTTTTGCTGGCGGTGGTGTTTGTGCTCTGGCTCTGCGCCGCCTGGCCGGTGTTTTGGCTCTGAGCTGGCTGGTTCTGGCCTGCCTGGCTCTGGCTCTGGCTCTGGCTCTGGGCCGGCCTCTGCGTCTGGCTTGGCCTGGTCGGTGGGTTGGAGGCATCCATGCTGCTTCCCATGCTGCTGCCAAGCTGCAGCCGCCTCATGTGCCGAACCACGGCGGTGGCATTAAATGCTTGCTGGAGAGAGGAAGGATATGGGGAGTGAAAAAACAAAAAAACTCACTTTGCCTCAATTAATAGAAGCAGTTGGACTTAAGAGCATCTTGTTTATTTCATATTAAGGGTCTCTGTAATAGGATGCTTTGGTGTGATACACCAGCGTTGGGTCAAGTGTAAACCAAATGAATATCAGTTGATAGAGGTGGGAAGGAGCAGAAATGTTCTGTGTCTGTGACTGTTTTATTCATTGAGCTTTTGATTTCTATCCATTGGTTCGTCATGAGATCACCACACTATCAGTGTACTGTTTCATGAGTAAGAGTGGGATTATATGAAGCGTTTTATGTCACAGAAAAGATCAAAAAAGTGATTTTTCATTTCATATTGGCTTTGAAGTTGCAGACCAGAATCTGCTTTCGATGAACTGGCACAAGTGCAAAAATGCTATGATATGCTCTTCTGTTGTAGTTTATCTTTATGAAAAGCATCTGAGGTTTAGATAAAACACAAGCTGGATGTACTAACAACACCCAGAGCTGAAAATCACATACTGTGTGTGGAGCAGTTCTTAAACAAAAAGGAATTTGTTTCAAGTCTGCAGGTTACTCTCTCTTCTTCTAAAAGCCACAGCAGAAAAGTGGATGATGAAGGTTAACTGCGGACCATATGGCGGGCCAGGTTTTTACTACAGTGATTCATCTTCTAAAAACACAGACAATCGTTTGAGGAGTCGTACCGCAGTAATACACTGCAATAGAGCCAAAGCCACTGCAGAATAAACTGCAGTAAACAACATTTACCCTCCATTTGCTCTTGGCGAAGTTCTTCCTGATCTGTCGGCTGACTGACTCATGGATGTTCTTGCAGAGCGCTGTATCCCCTGCGATCCTGATTCATATACACACACACAACCACACAAATTCTCTGTTAACACTTCTGACAGTACGTCAATATCTATATTGATTTTATGCCTTTTGGTGAGCCTGTTTATGACATTCTATGAGTGTGTGTGTGTGTGTGTGTGTGTGTTTCTCACCAGGGGTGTCTGAGTGCCTGATCACAGGTGAAACGCTTGGCTGGATCTTTTTCCATCAGACTGCCAATAAAATCCTTGGCTGAGAGGAAAAATAAATAGATAAAAAACATTGAAAAGGCCACAAAAAGGTCAATAACTTTAGACACACAAACACCATATCAACTTTTAACATCCTTTTGAAACAATTTGTGACCCAAATAACACTGACAATCTTTAATATTTGGTTCAGTTTGTGCAAATGTTTTCTGTTGATGTCTGCTGAAAACCTGGTATCTGTAAATAATTATCTCCCCAATGCACAAGACAAACACCTCTTCCGAACACACTGCAAATGAGCGAACTGTGGCAGATGGAACATGAAAAATTTACCAGATATAATACCAATGATGTCTCAGGGCAAGGGCTGGATATTTTTTTTTTTGGGAAGCATTGTAATTTCTCATTTTGCATAAGAGCAAGTAGGTAAGTCATTTATTCAAATCAAATGTAATTTTCTTGAGTTTTAAAAACTCAACATCATGAATGAGTCTCTCTTCATCCATGTTGACTTCTGACTGGAGAGATAACAGAAACATCAAGGATGTCAGGATGCCAGCTTTGATTCTGACCATGGAAAAAAAGTCTGGAAGTGGAGCTAGTGTGCTAAACTTCACAA